GCATAATATATATCTATATATATATATATATATATATATATATATATGAGATTGTGTGAGTTACATACAAAGATTTATAAATAGGTATTCAATTCTTTTTCAGAATGAGTTATTCAACACATTGATGTTAAACATAAGTATTTAACAAAAGCTAATTATTTTGTGGATGTACCTGCTATGTTGAGAAGTATGGCTCCGGCCACACAGAAGACTGTGTTAAACTTCATTCTTCTGTTCTGGTGTGTGCTGTAAATGCTGTTTCTTCTGCTGTCAAGTCTCTAATGATCTGTGAAGTATGAGTACTCCTGCCTTCATCAGGAGTTTTTTTCTTGCCTCCACCCCACCTGATGTTCTCACACTCCAGGCAGCTGTTGGTATTTACAGTGATGATTGAAACACATCACTTTATTACTAATCTCATTTTAGGATTTTTGATTATATAGAAGACTTACTCTATATACTGAGTAACTTAATTGCTTATTGTCACATTATACAATTCTACCGTGTTTTATAAAAAGGAAAACAAAAAGACTGTGTCAGACAAGACAACTTCTCAATACAGAGACCCAATACAGACCGCTTGGCTACTAAAACCAGAGAGGGATGCTGTGTGAAGGTTTTGGCTACAGAGGAGAAAGACGCTGCAAATTTTTTTGCATCTAAAGGGCTTTTAACTAAATTGGAAATGCGTTATTTTAACTGCTAATATGTAGTTAGCCTACCCTGCTAGGTGCAGTTGATCAGACCCCCCGCAGCACCACTGTTTCACCTCTCCTTGGTCAAGTTATCTCTCAAAAAGCAGGAGCACCTGTATAGTCTAAACCACGCTCATGACATTATTTCTGTTTATCTCTCTCTCTCTCTCTTTTCTGTTTCATACTTTTATGAGCCATCCAATAGAAACAAATCAGGCTCTTGTAAATTATGTAATATAATGGCATGCTTATTCATAAATCACAATATTGAACATTTCTTTTAATTTTGATTCACATTTTTATTTACCTTTGAATGGTTGTAAATGGAGAAAGATGGATTTTGATGCTCTATTCTAGAGTAAAGTGGGATAAACAGTTCTTCCTTGTGTTTAATTGTAGCTACTTATTTAACAACATTTAAGTAAATTATTTTGGCAGTACTTGCAATGGACAGGGATTATGGATGCAATTAAAGCGATACAAGAATACGGAACTTGGACAACCGATCAATTGGTATGATAGACAGACAAAGAATTGAAAAAATTAGTGGCTTTAAACTTTACACTCACAGCTTCTCCAGCTATTAAAGCTTAAACTGTCCTTATTCAAAAAAAACAAGAAGAACACATTTTCATGTAAATTATAGACTATACTTAAATCCATTTATGCATAAATTGTTGCATTCAAATAAATGGGACAGTTTACATAATGGTTTTATGTTTTTTCCTCTCACAGAAACTCATTCTGCTTGTGTTTCATGAATAATGTGTGTATTTTGGCATGTTGACATGTGATGAATGATCTTATTGCTTTGCCAAACCATGCATGTGGAAAGTTTATGCTTTTTGTCAGATTTCCATATATGGGTAGGCTATTCATTCAATAATGAATGGAATGATGTTTGAATCATTTCCTTGTACTGCTGCGTTCTGCTTGTTTTGTGTGATATGTGCACTTGTATGTTTATGAAAAAAGCAATACCATAATACAGACTAAATGTCAAAATAATACACCTGTGTGCTTATCAGGCCATCCCAAATTAAGAGCAGCAACATGCAGAGAATCAATGATGGAGAAGAGGCTTGATGGTAAATGAAAAAATAAACTTTTGGGTGGCAAGGTATTTATTTACACATTCAAATTGTATGAAATTTGAATTGTACACAGAAGCAGTTCCGGGAGCATGAGGTATGAGTTCAGCGTTGCGCAATGCTTATCAGGCCATCCCAAATTAAGAGCAGCAACATGCAGAGAATCAGTGATGGAGAAGAGGCTTGATGGTAAATGAAAAAATTAACTTTTGGGTGGCAAGGTATTTATTTACACATTCAAATTGTATGAAATTTGAATTGTACACAGAAGCAGTTCCGGGAGCATGAGGTATGAGTTCAGCGTTGCGCATGCGCCGGTGCGTCTCGTGAAAACCAACGTTTGTTTACACAATCACAGCACCCCTCGCTTTTTCAGACCGATGAGCTTTGTAAAAATCGACGCGTTTCAAAAAGGCGGGGCATAGAGGAGAAACAATAATGTACAGTATGTGGAAAATAATGTGTTTTTTTAACTTTAAACCGCATAAACACATTTCATTACACCAAATACACAAAATAATGTTCTTTTTAGCAGCATCATATGACCCCTTTAATGTCGATCATGGATCAAATCAATCCACCATGGCAAACAGCTAATATTTGTGCTGTTTAATGCATTTGAGACGTTGTGTTTTCCTCAGTGCATAACTGACACGTCACAGGTATATTTTTCATCTGTAAATGTTAGAAAGTCATGCAAATATATCCATTTTGCTGTCAGGAGTAAGCCGAGCGCTGCTGCGCGCATGCGCGCTAAACAGATGGAACAATAGCGCAATAATTCTGAATAAAATATGCATTCTGCTAAAATATTTGTTGTTGGACATTAAATGTGACAAGTAGAATTTTAATCCTACATATAAGTGTATTTTTTATTATAGCAGTAACTGTAAATCAAATGTAAGCTAATACAACCCTAATTACTAGCTCAAATTAGTTAGTGTATTCCTCTTATCATATAAAATACAGTCTGTTTTATATGATTTATTTAAAATTTTTATTTAGTGATTTAACTTTTAATTTAGTGTTTTTAATGCTTTTTAACATTAAAATTTTAAAATTTTGCAATTTTATATTGTACTGTTTTAATGTTCTACTAATAACCATAAAAGGTACAGCGGACCGATAACTGTATGTGAGAGAGTCAGCGCCGTAATATCAATGCGTTCCTATTGGTCAATGTTAGAGGAGCGCAGCTTAGCCTGACAGCCTGCTCCAGACCAGGGGCCCGTTCTTCGTACGTCGCTTATTACATCCGAGATGAAATGTCACATCTCAGACTAACTGAAATAAGCCTGGCTTATTTGGTAAATTTGTTTTATGAAACAGCCCCCAGGAAACTAATAGTTACAAATGAGGAGTGGAAACATAAACAAAGGAAACAGGAAACTGAAGTGGTCAAACTAAGAGTCCCTAAATGTCAAAACTAAAGTCATGAACAGAAACAGACATAACTGACAGCACCTCCCCCTCCCGGAAGGTGCATCCTCACGCCAAATCAATTCAAGTGGGAGGGTGGGCGCCCTGGAGGCCTATCAGGACAGGCTTGTACAGGACGGGAAGCCTCCAGAGCGGTACCGTACCGGTTCAGGGGACCATGGGCGGTGTGGGTAGTTCAAGGGACCATGGCGGTGAAGCCTCTGTGGCCTTGGCCTGGGAACTAGGCCCAGCCACTATGACTGGAGATGTCCCCCCCCCGAGGTATCCATGGTGGAGCAGAAGACCTCCACAGCTGTGCAGACGGTGCTGAAGATCTCCACAGCAGAGCAGATGAACACCAAGGCTGTGCAGATGGGGCTGAAGGTATGAAGAGGTCAACAGCCGATAGTTTGTGTATGACCTCACTGGTCCTATTGAAACGGGCAGACATTTCATGAGCGACCTCTCTCGTCGTGTCAGGGCAGACAGAGAACTCAGAGGTGGCCTCCTTGGCCATATCAGGGCTGACAGTAGTGTTAATTTTGTCAGCTATTTTCAATTTTATTCTTAGTCTTAGTCGCGTTTTAAATGTCCTTGTTAGTTTTTATCATATTTAGTCAACCTTATCCTATTTAGTTTTAGTCGACTAAAAGTCTCAACATTTTAGTCTAGTTTTAGTCAATGAAAACCTTACATTTTAGCAATAAGATAATTATTAATTAACCGTACAGCAGTATTAATTTTGCCAACCATTTTTAATTTAGTCTTAGTCTTACTCAAATGTACATTTTAGATATAATGTCAACCTTGTCCTGTTTTTGTTTAGTCAAGTTTAAGTCAGTGAAATGTATGAGCATTTTAGTCAGGTTTTAGTCAAATTTTCGTCATGCTGTATAATGGTTAAACTGATCAAAATGATTTTTGCTCAAAATTATAATCGTAATGATTGTAGTAATTTGAGAAATTTACTTTTGCATTTCAGGTATTGCACTTTCACCAGTAAGCACAAATCAATAGAATGTGGACTCATACATGGTGTATTTTTCCTCATCTAGTGTACTGCTTTATTACAGTGTTAATTTGGACAGGCATTTTTGATTTAGTCTTAGTCTTTATCTTGAGACGAAAATGCTTAATAGGCCCTGTCCCAAATGGAACACTTCAGCTGTGTCCCAAAGTTAAGAGCGCACACTTCGAAGGCCACGGACTTCGAAGGTCAAGCCTCCGAAGTGCACGAAGGACGCTCCGCCTTCGCAGGATTTCCTAATTGCGACACCAGAGGTTCCCGATTAGCGCTCTGTGGCATAGAGAGGAGAGCTGACGAGAGGACAATCCTGCCAGGATAGGGGGAGCCAGAATTGCTCATTTTTGTTTTTATGTCTTACGTCATAATGGAGGAGACAGTGATGTACCTCAGGCTTAGCCTCTGTCTCTCTCTGGAGTTTGGTGTCCTCCCTGAGCAGCTCCACCAGCTTCCACTCACTCCCTCACCTGTCCCAGGACACTTGCAATCCTAAGGCAGAGCAAAAAAACCATGCCTGATAACAACAACAGCACAATGAATTTCAGCATTGCTGTGATGCAATCGCACTTGAAATGCGCCCTTAGGAGTCCTTGCACTTCACTTTGGGACACAGCTTTCATGTGCACTTGCGGTCTACAATGGCCGCCGCGTGCGCGTGTCTGTTAAGTCCACGAGACCATAGGGTGTCCCATTTGTCATTTTACCGTTCAGAAGGGTGCTCGCGAGTGCCCCCTTTTGCGGCCGTTATGCGCCCTCGATCCGCACTTCTGCCGAGCTCGCACTGGTGCGAGTCAAAGGTGCGAGTCTGTTCTACCTGACAGTCAAAGTGGCATTACGTCACGAAAGTGCGGTCTCAGAAGAAGACCCACGAGGGTTTAGGGAGCCACCCTCGATCCGCAATTCGGCCGAGCCCGCACTGGGGCGAGCTCCGCAGCAGACTTCTACCCGACAGTCAAAGCGGCATTACGTCACGAAAGTGCAGACTCAGAGGAAGACTGCGAGGGTATAGGGTGCCATTTGGGACAGGGCCTATAGTCT